AATAATATTTTTAGTCATAATTATTTTATTTTTTATAATTAGTAGTTGTTTTATTATATAAAATAAAATTCTAATAAGTAACATTTATTTAAATTTTGTTCAAAAGAGAAATAATTGCAATATAATTTATTTCATTTTTTTTAAATACGAGTAGGTGCTAATTACCATGCTACAAAAAACATAGTTATTTTATTTTAGAATAGAATATAAATTTTAATAGGTAATATTTATTTAAATTTGTATTAAAAACATTTATTTAAATTTGTTTGAGAAAATAATTTCAATACAGGACAGCATACAACCACTATACTAGAGTGGTAATAATTTTTGCATATGTACGACATGTCAGAATAAAAAAAAACAGACATGGATACTAGCAAGGTGCCATGCAACTCAAAAATTGTGATGTTGCGATCTATAATTTTTCAAGTATTATTCTTTGAAATAGTTTGAGAGTTGATATATATTTAGAATAAGTTTGTAATAAACCACTATTAAAAAAAATCCTTGGTTCTATGGTGGATCCAAATGACAATCTCAAATGTGGTTGGATTTTTGACAAATAGTTTCAAATATATTTATTTACATTCTATTTATACAATAATTAAATAAATACAATTTTGAGATTCCCAACCATTTCTTTTTTACTTAAAAGGAAACCCATTAATATTTTTATTTTGAGTATACAGTAATATTATACCAAGATTAGAGATAGAAACTCAAACATTCAAACAAATTATGCAAAATCAAACTGGATGATGCAAGTTGGATGGGGTTTCCGATGAATGTGAAACAGATCGATAATCTTGAACCTTATTCCTATATGATCCGATCAATTCGATTAGGCACTCGTCATCTATTTTCATTATTCAACTCTTTGACAACACGAAAAAATCATTGTTCAACTCTTTGACAACATGAAAAAAAAACTCTGCCCTCTCTCTCTATCTATCCAAGGGATGGAAGGGGAACAAGCACATTTAGAGAACGCAGTAGAACGGAGAGTTATATGCTGCGCATTGGATTATACTCGGGTTCATAAAAATCAATTAAAAATTTACTAAAATATTTTGAACATAAATGCAAAGTACTACTATAAAGAGAATATTTATAATCCATGATAATTTATTTGGGGTGCCTACCTATTTTCTATTGATTTTAATATTTTTCTAGAGAGATTTGTATGTATCACAAATTTATGTGGTAAAAATTTAAATGATTACAACAAATAAAATATTTGTCAAAAAACACATTTCATTCTTGTTTAGTCCATGTAATTTAAAATTATTACAAATTAATTTATACGATTAAATATTAGATTAAATTTAACATAATTTTGACCGCCGCTAATAATGGATTCCGAGATAATTTATACGATTAAATATTAGATTAAATTTAACATAATTTTGACCGCCGCTAATAATGGATTCCGAGATGGTTCAACTTAGGTGGGTTTAGGAGTTAGAAAAAGGAGTATATGTATTCTCATAGAAAAAAGAAATTGAAAAAAGTGTGTTTTTTTTTTTAAGAATAAACTTCCATTCAGGTAAACTTAAGCTTGTTGCTATGTTATTCATGTAGCATTCAGATCGAATGACTCTATGAAATTACGTCGATATTATGCTTAACATTATTTATTTATTTTTGAACAAAATGCCTAACATTATTTATAATACAAATCCTGCGTTTTTTTAAATAGATTTTCCCAAAAAACCGTAATAAAAAGAAAATAAATTATATAATTTTCATGAACACACGAAAAAAAATAGTGGGATGAACCAAAAATGGTAAAAGGAGGTCTTAATTACCATAAATATTGTGTAATATTTCCTTATGAGTAACGAATTTTACCCTAAATAACGCCATCGTCCGGTAGCGATTATGGAGATAATCCAATGTCCAAAAACTCCACTTATTCTGATTATTTTTTCCTTCCGCCATGGAATTTCTCGTGAAGATCGATCCAACCCCAAATCTGATCTCATTGTGATTTCATTCACTAATGCCTCATCGCAATCAAATTCCGTAACCGCCATTGATCAAAATCGTCGTCGTTCGTTCTGAATTACATTGAATCAGTAAAATTGATCGAGCGGCGGACGGTTGCCGGTATGATCAGTCGGAGATGAGTTGTCTGTGAGAGTTTGGCAGCTGGCCGGAATGAGAGGGAGCTCTTCGAGGCGGCCGGAGACGCAGCGGCTCCGGCAATGGACGGCGCTCGGATCGATGAAGATCAAGATTATTCTGCTGTTTTGCTGCATCGGATTCGCCGTCGTCGTCTTCGCCGCCCGCGCCCCCAATCTCGTCGTCTGGACCGCCGGCCGCCTTATGGTGGAACCCTTCTCTCTGCCGCGGTACGAACCGTCATCTTCCTCTTTCCCTCCATTACCAATTTTTCATTTTCTTTGCTCATGTATCTTATGAAAATTGGGCATGATTTCTTGATCTTCACGTGTTTGTTTTAGATAGGAGTTTATTAGAAAACAAAATCTCGATACTCGTGAAGAAAATGAGAAATTATTTAATTCGATTGGCAAAAAGTGACCGACAATTTTATGGAATAAAATTGCTATATAATATTCAATAGAAGAAATTTCTCTTCAAATTCCTTCTTCATTCTAAACGTATAATTTTTTTTTGTCTCTTTATYCAATAAGTTTGGTATTAGAATATATTTTCGATAAAGAAGTCTCTATTGCTGTAGCTATATATATTATCCGAACACATATTTGAATTCTCTCTTTCTTTTAAAATTATAGTTTAATTCCTTTAGTTACCTCCAACAAATTTAGTATCATAAAAAAAAAATTGTGATCAAACTCGACAAAGATATTATTGTAATTACTATTGACTAGAAAAATGAGAGTGATTGCTAAGTATCTTAAATTTCTATCAACTTTGAAATGTAGGAAACGTTATGCGATTCTAATCAACACATGGAAAAGATACGATCTCTTGAAGCAGTCCATTTTTCACTACTCAACATGTTTGGGAGTTGAGTCAATACATATAGTATGGAGCGAACCAGAGCCTCCATCAGAATCTCTAGTAACTTTCCTGCGACAGAGGGCGAAGGAGAATTCCCGACGACACGGGCGAGAACTAGAAGACGAGTTGAGATTTGAAATCAACGAAGAAGATAGCTTGAACAATAGGTTTAAGGAAATAAAGGGTTTGAAGACAGAGGCCATATTTTCAGTAGATGATGATGTTATATTTCCTTGTTCTACGGTGGAGTTTGCTTTTAGTGTTTGGCAAAGCGCGCCTGAGACCATGGTTGGGTTTGTTCCTCGCATGCATTGGCCCGATCACTCGGTATGTTGTTTCTACTTTCATTTGTGTGCTTGTTCTTCATCTTCTTTAGGTGCAACTTTCTTGTTCTCTTATTGTTTAATTATTACTCCTTTTAAACATTTTTCTTTAGTTTTAGCATTATTCGACTTGTTACAAGATTTCGATACTCGATTGGAAATATGGTGTCAAAAACTCTATTTTCTCAACACCATATACATTTTGTTTAGTATATCAAATAGGGGGCAGGGAGATTTAAACTTCCGGTTTCAAAAGGAATAGATGTCATTTAGCTATGTTTATGTTGTCATATACTTAATCATACGTAATCTATAATTAAACAACACAGAAGTCTATACGCCTGAAATATACTCTAGTCGTTGTTGTTAGGTTTTTCTAGACGTTTATAAATGTCCTATATATGTTACTGCTTTTGACAATACCATATTTGAACACACAAATTTTTTTCATATGTTTTTGTCATTATTGTTACACACACCAACCAATACAAATTCTTGTTGGCATTCTAATGTGGTGTATTTCCAATGGTCTATTTCTACTATATTTATTAGATAAGTGGGTCTCACTAAATTTTTGAGTCATCAAGAATACACTTCATTAGGCGTCGTAAATATCTTGTTACTTTAATATTATTCACAAAAATTTTAGATTATTCTATATCTAAATACTTCTAAATTGTCTGAACATTCATAAAAATCTTAGACCATCATTCTACGCACGCAGGTTATCATGTTAACAAAACTCAAGGGCTATTTCTTTATGAAAACCTAATACCTAAATCAAGTACATAAGATGTCAACACAATTTAAATTGAATTGAAAGTTGAAATGTTTGGTTAATGTGTTGTTCATTGGTACTGCAGGAGGGAGAAATGGGAAGATTTAGGTATGGGGGATGGTGGTCAGTGTGGTGGAGTGGCACATACAGTATGGTGCTATCAAAGGCTGCATTTTTTCACTCCAAATATTTGGCTATTTACTCTAACAACATGCCTGCTTCCATCAGAGACTATGTTTCCAAAAACAGGTCCCTTTTTCTTTCCTTTTCTCCAATTCTTTTCTTTGGATTTCCTCTGTCAAATTTTCATCTTGGGATTGTGAATTCTTTTTGCAGGAACTGTGAAGACATTGCAATGTCTTTTCTTGTGGCCAATGTAAGTGGTACTCCCCCTATATGGGTCAAAGGTATGAAATCATCCCATTCTAGTTTTTGAATTGGTTTTGTCCAATTTTAGTAAGTCGTGGTTGCTAGTTGATTGATAATGACATCTTCTAAAATGAGTTTTGGAGATATCACGAATAAAGATGAATAGAAACGTTATATCAATTTTACGTCATCGATTGTACTAATATTTTTTTCCTGTAAGGGTGTCGATTTTACTGTTAGAAATGATTATGTCATTCAGCTTCTTTCTTAATCAAGTCTTCTAACKGCTTCTTAGTGGATTTAAACATTAGAAGTTCTTTTATCATTGAAATTTATTGGGGTTATTTTTTTCTCTCTTTGAAATTGCAGGCAAGATATTTGAAATAGGGTCGAGTGGAATTAGTAGCTTAGGAGGTCACAATGAAAGAAGAAGCGAATGTGTCAATAGATTTGTTGAAGAGTATGGTGGAATGCCATTGCTACCTTCAACTGTGAAGGCTGTTGATAGTCGCTACACTTGGTTTTGGTAGAATGGATTGAGTCTCTGCCATGAAAAATTATTGAAAGTGATCATCATAACGACAAAACATAGTTGTCATATTTATAAGTTAGATATTCCAGCCCCATCAAAATGGATATAAGGATTGCCATACCGTGACAGCAATGTCGAAGAATTTCTCTACTATCAGAGGATTTTGAAGGTTACCCACCTTTTTGTCTGAGTTCAGTTTAGTTAAGTCCTTGTCCCCTCAAATATATGATGATTTGAACAAACATTCAGTTTTAGTTGAACATTTTGTAGAAATTATAGCTTTTCTATTGTAGAAGAAAACATCTGATTGCCTAATTGATGATTGATGGTGATCTTACGCCCACATCAAAGTCCAATATCTAAGATTATTAGTTATAAGCTCACCGAAATGTTCAAATCAATGTCCTAATCCTTGCCAACAAGCTGTACCGTGAGGCATTCCCCTCAAATATAATTGTGTTAAATTCCTTACCTTAGAATGCATAATAATGTGATGTAATAAAGAGGATTAAAAGAGATTAGTTTAAACAATTATTTCCTGTGATCTGCTTGTAGGTCTGGATATTTAGTGTTTATATTGAAATGAAAGCCTTAAGAATTGGTGAATTGAGATTGATCTTGAGAATATATGATAGGGAGGATAACCAATTGGAACAAAAACATCACAATATTTCATAAAAATAAATCAAACACAGTATTTGTTGGAAACCTAAAGACCAAGTTTGACTACAACATCAAGCTTAATGTATAACTTCTAAAAACATAATGGAAACTTCAATTTGAGTGTCAAGGGAGAATGCAAACGCAAAAGTTCCTGATCTCTAAACAACTGTGTAACTCAAAATACTGTTTAATCGAACAAGCTGAAACCCAAGTCATCATCAGACTCCTCTGCTGGCTCTTCCTTCTTCTCTTCCACCGCTGCAGCAGCTGCAGGGGCAGAGCCAGTATCAGCAGCAGATACCGCCACAGCCACGGCAAACTTGCTAGGATCCTGTTGTAACAAGCAGAAGAGTAATTGATTATTAGTCGRTCACAGCAAGACAGCTGAAACTCACTAGAATCCTGTAACATTTGATACAAGGGCTAGCCAAAAAAGTCGATCAACAATATACCTCGAGGTACTCCTTAACTTTCTCAGCCTGAGGGAACGAGTAGTCGGTGGCAACTGCAACAGCRAGAAGATTTTTGTATGCATTGATGAGCATGTGTGGTGCAGCAGCCAATGTTGGGAATGAAATGGCCAATGCCAAGGATGTAACCATGGAAACACCCAAAGCAAACTTCTCGAGGAGATCATCCTCAGTCATGTCAAGCACCTCAGGGCTAAAGACTGACCCATTGTCATAAACAGTTTGAACAACTAGACCGTAAGAGAATGGCCTAATTCCTAGCTTGGCAAGGAGAGCTGCCTCGGAAGATCCAACCTTCTCACCCTTCTTAATGAGCTCCACAGGAGTGATAATTTCAACAGTACCCTTGTTAATCTTGGTTGGAATGTTAAGAACCTGAAAGGAGAAGAATTTAAAATCTCAGATTCTGTTCATGAAAAAGGGTTACTTTGTATTCAAATCTACGAACCTGGAAGAAAGAGGTCTGAGATGGGTCAAGCCCTGTGTTGCCTGGTGGGACGATGACATCAATTGGGGCAACCAAACCAACACGAGCAGGGGCTCCGACCTGCACAATTCATTTGGAAATAATAGGTTTCAATGATATATCACCAATCCCGCTAAGAATAGAATTTTCATTTCTAATTCGTCTAAAGTTGAATCTAAAATTTATATGCAACTAAACCAGCAAAAATGCTTTTCCTAAAACAATTTCTATAACTTCTGCTGCATCGATAATCTAATAATTCGTGAAAACAGAGCAGCACGGCTGTTTATTTCAAAGCAACTCCCAATATCCAGTATCTACTGAAAATTTAAGATGGCCTCAAGTAAAGCAAACGCTCTTAATAAATTAGACTAAAAGATTTAGACAACAGTAACATACAAGTTTGATGGTAATTCATCACCAACAGGAGGACGACAAGGGAAACTTTCAAAGTGCAAATACTCATTTCAAATTAACAGCAGGTAATCGTTTATTGTTAAACAAAATGAGGCTAAAATTCTCAAAATTGATGTGGCCTTAGCAATGAATTACTATCCTTGTGAACAAGCAAGTTAAATAGTATACGAAGTAAACTTCAAAGAGGATGTGATAGAGCATAATACACACCTTGTATTTAGCCACCTCTTCACTGACTTCCTTCAAATCACCCTTGGTGAAGATCAAACCAACATTGCCCTGATACAGTCAAGACGCGAAATCACTAAGTCAAGAGCTCAACTTCTTAAGCCAATTTGCAGGCAGAACTTAAGTACAAGAAACATGTATTCAAACAAGAAGACAAAAACAGAGAAGCATTATACAAGACACAGAACTTGACTTACAACAAGAAGGGGAAGAAGATTGAGATAAGCCTTGTTTCCAGTCTTCTCAGAGTGCATCCTCACAGAGCGCTTCATCATGGTGTTCTTTCCCATGAGCACCACAGAGTCACCACGGAGACCCTTCCTAATGTTCTGGAGCTGGTTAGATCCGACATTGTCAGCGGCCACAATCAAGACCTGGCTGTACTCGTCGAGGAGCTGGCAGAGCTTGGAGTCGTAAGCGACCTTCTTCTCAGCCTTGGTGGGTTTGACCGCCATTGAAATGGGTTTCTGAAGAAAAATGTAAAGTACAAGAAAGGAAAAAGGGTTAAGAGCAAAACCGAGGGCCAAGACGAAGCTGAGGGCTCGGTCAAGGCGGACAGCGAGGGTATGCCGTCTCTTTAACCTCTGTGTAATGCTATGGAGGTTTTTTAGGGTTTTGGACAACTCCTGGGGAGCTTAATATGCTGGTGGAAGATGAAATTTGCCGCTGTGGAGCATTATATATGGAAGCTGGAGATTAGGGCTCCGTTTTAACCTAGATCCGACGGTTGATGTTCATTGTTGGTTGGCCTTTTATGATTTTGGATCTCAAACGCTTATGGGCTTCTTGATTTTGTACAACGAAGATAACAAAGATAGCCCACTGTAAAGCTATCTTCTATTTATACCTATCTCTGATCAAAATCATGAGTTCGAATTTTTATTCCTACATGTTTGTACTAAAAAAAATTCCATTAAAATAGAAAACTCAAAAGTCCACCCTTCTATCAACTATTTTTTTTTCCTCTCTTCTCTTTGGATCTTGGAGTAGTCACCAAATTTCAGTCCCTTTAGAGGATCAGTCTCCAAGTAGATTGGGTTTGCATCAAAACCCTTACAAACTGCAAACATCTCAAGGTAAGTAACCTATCTTTCTTCTCTAATCACTTCACAACCCCCTTCAAAATTTCTCCTTTATCGTTTATCGTTTCTGAGTATCTGACACAACCCACCAGATTCCTTTTCTGCATTCCAGGGAGCATTGGTATTGAGCTTCCACGATTTAGGCGGGGAGGGTTCCATCAAACATTTGAAGAATTTTCCTCTCTGCAGATTTGGTACGCTTCTTCCAAAGACTTTTGATTGAAAAAAATATTAATCTTATGTTGGATGTTTGCAGTGCTTGAAATTTCTCTTTCAAAAATCGCTCGGTTCCTAGCCTCCCAAATCTGCCATGCTGTGATCAAAATCTGGCGTCTCTCCTCACTGTTTGACCTCGTAACAGCCCACTCCCAGTAATCCAATTTGCTTCAGGATTCAAACATTTTTTCCATATATCTTTCATTACCTTGCACTCTCAAATCACGTGCATTATTGATTTCTCACAGTGCCTGCAAAAAACACAAAATTAAGTCAGTAGTAATTCCATTTGAGAGGAGATTTGTCTTGGTGGGGAGGATGTTCTGGTAGCTTTTCCAACAGCAAATCTTCACCTTTGGTTGTGTCGATATATTCTAGAATGCTCTCCACCACTTTCTTTGTTCTTTGTGTGTCAGTTGAAGAAGTAGAGCTTAAATTTGTCTTGTCTAACTTAAGACCTAAATGGTGAGCACTCTTGACAGAAAATAAAGCCCTTTTATCTAAATTATTTAAGGTAGGTATGCGTTAGTCACTAAACAATTAAGTTGACATGTTTAAGTATTTATACTATAGTCAAGTTGAAAAATCTAAATTATTCATAATATTCTTTTAAACAAAAATTGTTACGTGTGCTCTATTTTTAAAACATTTGTTTTGTATTGGTATAGGTATGAGATTTTTTTTTTCACAAATAATATTGTTGGGACGGGTGAGATTGGTTCTTAGTGTTATAATTTGTCTTTCTCAGTACAAAAAAAATATAAGATACGAGATTTTCAACCTCCAACCTCACAGAAAATATGAAATAGGAAGTTTAGAGTGGGTGGCGTTTTATTACCCATTTATGATATTTAATTTTTCTATAATTAATATAAATTGATGGCTTGTACACATAATATGTAAATATGAGCCAAGTTTAATTTTTTAAGATATATCTTCAACTAAAATATTGTAGGCTCGACTAATATATCTTAAATAAAAATGTCAGGCATAATTTAAATCCAATGATTCTAAATATCTGTCAACACGTCGACATTTCCATCGATATATCCATACTTTTATGGGTTTGACATTGACATTGAGGTAAATCGACATTTCCATCATAGTACAAGAAAATCGACAAAATATGAAAAATATCAACAAAATGTCACTAATATATACATAATATTAATTATTTTTAACTAATTTAGAAATAGGAAAATGTTTATTCGTTAATTTAAATATTTTTACGATTTTTTAATTTTTCTAACTTTTTTATATAAATATCCATCGACATCGATATTTTATCGATATTTCCATGAAATTGAGAACTCGACATTTCTATTCACATTGACATTTAAAAGCTTAAATTCAATAAAGAAAACACCACTTATTACACAATAATAATACTACTACTAATAATAAATGTAATAAAAATAACATTTTTAAAATTAAAATTAAAATTGTTAGGCCCAAGCCCATTAAGATTGCCCAAGTAAGATAGGCCTAACAACGTGCAACAGAACGACGGTTCGGCCCAAGCCCATTAAGTTCGTTCGTCGTCGTCGTTGGCCAGCGGAGGTCCAATTCATTGCCGATGAAGGTGACAGGTACGTCTAAACCAACGAACGAACGTTCATCAATCAATAAAATGCCTTAATTTTTCAGAAGCACCGACAAATGGGTTCCGTATATCGTGATCGGACGACGGAGTTCCGGTCACTGTCGGAGACGCTGAAGAAGGCCGGAGGAGTCACAGCCGCCGTCAGTCCAGCTAAAAATGACCCGTCGGCGTCCGTACCGTCCGGATCACCGGCCGCTACACGATCGGAATTCAGCAGGAAGGCCTCGCGTATCGGATTGGGAATCCAAGAAACCTCTCAGAAGATCGTGAGGCTTGCTCAGTGTATGCATTTTGTTGCCCTAATCGAAGCTATGATTTTATTTTACCCCTTTTCATTGCGTTTATCTTTTTTTCAGCTCTGTTTGGTTCCTGGAAAATGTATTAATTGGTTCGAATTTGGGTGGTTTTCTTGGTTGAATTTTCATATTGTGGCCATTGGGATGTTATGAATCTTATTTTCCATTCTTGATCCTCCATGAGTAGTAGAATATTGTTGGTAAGTTCGGTAATTTGAGATCCTGCAGCTAAGTGCGAACATTTAAACCGACTACTTTGTACTTATCTAACTATTGTTTGCACCGAATTTCATTTCTGTTTTGGGAGCAAGATGCTGCAAATGAAAGTTAATTACATGAAACACTTAGATACGTGAAGTTAACTTTAAGCATTAGTTGAAACTTGATTTAAAAATCATAAGCACAAAGCTCTAAATCAGCAAATGTTGGACCTGTTTTTACAATAGGATTCCTTATCTCCTTATACCTTAGTAATGTAACACTTTGATTTCTATCAAAAGAAAGGAAAACACACACACACACACAAAGTAATCTAATGGACATCACCTTGAAACAAATATACTGATTTTCACATATGTTTTGCCTCTTTCCCCTTTCTCTTATTTGGTTCTATACTAGTTGAGATCATGTGTTACGTGTTAGGATGTACTAATAAGGGCCCTTTTTAATCCTTCTCGAATCTGCAGTGGCAAAAAGATCATCAATGTTTGATGATCCCATTAGGGAAATACAGGAATTGACCGCTTTGATTAAGAATGATATTACATCATTGAATGTAGCTATCACAGATTTGCAAACCATCCAAAAGGTGGAAACATCAGATGGAAATTATTCCCAGGATAGAGTGGTTCATTCAACAGCAGTATGTGATGACCTGAAGAGCAAACTTATGGGAGCTACAAAACAGCTTCAAGATGTGTTAACCGCAAGAACAGAGGTCTGTTTGAAACAAATCAATAAAACATGTCCTGCGCATGCTCAAGCTCAACTTTAGCTTCCTAAATATTTTAACTTATAGTTATAGTTTTTCTATAACAGAATATCAAGGCCAACGAGAGTCGGAGGCAAATATTTTCTGCAAATGCAAACAGAGAAATTCCTTTTCAAAATCAAGCCAAAATTGTAACTCAACCACCACCTTGGTCTAGTAATACATCTGAAAATGCCCAATCATCCATGTGAGTAAAGTGAATGTTGCCTCTAACTTAACACCCTTAGTATCTCACCCCATTTCAAAGGCCAGACAGGATAGTTTCTTTCTAATAAGTTATTTACTAATATTTTGTCTTCTATCCAGGTTGTTGTCAAATGGGGCTCAAGTTGGGGGTCAATTGAGGTTTGTTTTTTTCTTCTTGTTTTTCTAGAGCTGGAAAGTTATGTAATTCTGAGAGCAAAAAATAGTGCTTTTGATGCATTTGGTTGTTGATCGAGTCAGATCTTTTATCTATTTGTTTGTGCTCATACTTGGTTGAAATTAGTATTTCAAAGTCATATATCTATGCTGTTGATCTTTTTATCCATACACTTGATGCATCTTAATGAGTTGAGGAAGTTGTGTGATTACTTTTTTGATCGATGTAATGCATGCCAATGATTTTATTATGTTGTTGTATCCAAATATGCTTGTTATTGTAACTTATATGCCAATCATAACACGTGATAGAACCTCGATTCTATTATTGATATTCATAGAAGAAATTACAAGGGTCAAGGGCGAATTCAAGAGCTCCCTATTCTCTCCAAACTATTTCTTTCCAAAATATGCCTAAAGGTTTCTTTTACCTCACTCTCACCCAATATATACAATAACTCCTAATAGTACCAAACTACCATATTTGCCCAAAGGCTAAAGATGCTCGAGTAACAGTTATTTTGGAAATCATGCTTTTCATTTTGATAGGAGTACATGCTTTTAGGGGCAGTACACTCTTCATTCTTCATTCGAAACTAATGAATGTTGGGTCGGGGATTCTGCCTTGTTATCAAAAAGAGAATTGGGTAATTCGAATAGGGGTGGACCTGACCGCTGAGCCCATGTGGTTGGGAACAGGAGGTTCGTAGACAAGGCTCGTTTTGTACTTGACTTACGAGCTCATGTAGTACTCATCTCTATCGCTAAAGGGGCTGAAGAAATGATAGTAGCTCGTTGTTTTATAGGCTTGATTATATTAAGTTGGAAGAAGAGGAATAAAAAATGGTAGTTTCCCTATAATAAAGCACCAGAATGTTCCTTGTACCCAATCTAACTAACAAGTGCCCCACACCTCTAACAGAATTCTCATGGCCCACTTACATCAGCTTATCTCCCCCCGTCCCCTCCTTTAAGGATAAACTTTCTAATTGGGGGCCTATCAACATGACAGCAAAGTGGCTGTTTATTACGCTGTTGTTGTTGTCATTTTCACTGTTAATGTATTTTACTTTTTTGAAATTTGTTTATCCTGATTGTTATTTGCTTGCTGGACCTTTTTTCTTCTTTTTTTCCCTCCTTTTTGAAGATTGGATCTGGTTTCTTAAGTTCATTTTTATAGTTGAAATAGTACAGCAGATGCAGTGCAGTGGATTAATGTGCTTRCCATAACTACTTGTATTGTGCCTTGTTAAGTCAGACGAAGGTTAGCTGTGGAGAACACTCCATCCCAGCAAATGGAGATGTCAATGTTACAGCAGGTGGTTCCTAGGCAGGAAAATTATTCACAAAGTCGTTCAGTTGCTCTCCATAATGTGGAATCCACCATTTCAGAACTCAGCGGAATTTTTACACATCTAGCCACCATGGTTGCACATCAAGGAGAACTTGCTATCAGGTATTATCTCTTTGCTTAGCTGTTTCTTGTGAAGAAAACAAAAGACGAACATTTTTCTGTCTGCTTGGTTATCCGAGTACCAACATCTTTTACTTGACATTCACATCATTAATTACTTTCCGTATCTATGCTATCCTTCACTTTGTGTTTGTGAAGCCTAATTGAAATTTCTACCTCTGAATTAAATTTGATAATTGGTTCATCGTCAGGATCGATGACAACATGGACGAATCATTGGCAAATGTAGAAGGCGCTCGAAGTGCGCTTTTAAGGCATCTTAACCAGATATCATCAAACAGATGGCTTCTTATCAAAATATTTGCCATTTTAATACTTTTCTTGATGGTCTTCATTTTCTTGGCATAAGCGTCAGCTTCAAAACCCAACTATTTTTGTTTACGGTGCTCCCCTCTGCTGTAGATTCAAGGATTTCCTTTTCTTATGGGGTTCTTTCAAGTCTTACCGAATATACGAACACATCAACTTGTTTATATTTTTTAACAGAAAAAAGCATGTACACTGTATTGTGGGAATTTGGATTCGACATGGTATATCAAATTACTTGATTAGGATTAAAAGTTCAATCTCTTCTGCCCTGTTTTGGATTTGCATTTGCACATATCAGAATTTAAATTCATCAAAGTTGAACTCATGTAGCTCCACTATGTTAAAACATAGTTGGATTCTCTGAAGTGTATGCCTATTCTAAAAGCAATGGTAGCTCTGCTTAAATGCTAAACTGTGGGAGCATAAAAGTAGTTTTCAATAACTAGATATTACATACATATCCTCAAGTTTTCCAATCCAAAAGATATTGTAGGGCAAGATGTTGTTCTTAACCTTGCTTTTGAACAAGTGAAAGTTATGTCTTGCTCCAGGTGGGAATAATATTTCTTCTTCGCATATCCATGAAGTTTTGAGAAATCCATAAATCTTAGATATCATTCAAACCACACTCTACAATCCATATGGCTGGAGTCCATTGAATGAGAAGGGTTGGGAAAAGCTTGAACCCGATTCCTAGAGTGGATATATGTGAAATTCTTGATTTGTGTTATGAAGTTCAATCTTTACCTCAGATAGAAAGATAAATTATATAGCTAGACGAATCCATAAACCAAAATAGATGAACTTGCTCCATCTAGGAGTAAATATTCTTCACAGCCCTTAATAGGCCGAACATTGTTTTTGGTTTTTCTAGATAATAGGTAGGTGTATAAGTCGARATATTCTGGAGCTACAAAGATCGTCATTTTAAGTAAGGCTTTGGTAGCAAAAGAAGATTAGAAACCATAATTGGAGGCAAGAGCCTTCTTTTTTTGTGTTTGTAATGATGCATCTTGAATGGATAACTATTTTGTAGTACAAGTTTGAACAAAAATGTCTTTTATCTCTTGAATTTCCTGAGAGGATCCAAATAATTCGTGGGTACCTTGGAGAAAGATCCAATCTTATCCTTACATTCTAATCTTGTATTATTTGTTGTACGATGAGGCACTACACCTCACTTTGAAGCCTTTTGAGACTATATAGCACCATGGATTTCCTTGGAAGTAGCTAAAAGCAAAGTGATCTTTGCTTAAAGCCTCCTCTTTCTCTATAAGCTTAGACATTGTATAAATCTTTCTTGCTTTTTGTTTATTTTGTTTGTCCTCTGGACACTAGTCTAAAAAAGTGAGCATATTTACCAAACACACACGTTAAAAATGAAATGAAAAATCAAAAGTAGGAAATGGAAAATGAGAAACAATCCCATATAATTTCGGAGACAATAAAGAAAACAAATGGAAAAGAACAAAGCATTATTTTTGTTTTATGGTCTAAACTCTTCCATCATTTTAGTCTATCGACATGGGTATAGACTAAAGAAATGGTTTAAAATAGGAGACCTCTACAACGGGCTATGCTCATGTTGCTTTGCAGGGCTTTACTCGTCTCGACGTCGACGTGAGCTATGCTGACTAGAATGATTTAGATTTCAAACCGTTTCAAGTGTTGGGTGGCTTCCACAATAACATTGTGTTTCTAAACCTGGCTCCCAATGTGGCATCTGTTTTGCAAGTGAGTAATATTTGTGGTAAGAAAGGCATCATCAATGGCCGACATGGATTCAAAATTTCAAGTCTTGAGGAGCATGATGGAACACGAAGGAAGTGGAAGATGACCAGTGAAAAGACTACTGATAATAATAATAATGGATACCCAAGCAACAAATTTTGCCACTAACCCATGGATAATTCCCACTATGTTGACTCAATATCAGATTTTGGCCACTCTTCCGCCGAATTATTCATTCATATTTGTTAGGGAAGAGGGAAGGAAGGGTAGGTTGAATATAGGTTTATGGTGCCCGCTCAATCAAGTGAGATTAGAAGTCATTTAGCTTAGGCGAACTATAGCTCGACCAAGTTAAGATCAACAAATTGTAGCTTAACTATTGCGAGTATATAAACTATCGAAAAACTTGTAATTCGTCTTATGGTGGGATGAGAAGGTAACCTAACCAACTAGTATAATTGGACCACCAAGTGTGTCGACCAACTAGATGAGATAACAACCTTGACAATCAAAACAATTCAACAAGGCTTGATGAGGTCACATAAGGAGTATTTTGCCGCCCATAGTACAACAACGCTGACCTATCTCATACATTAGCAACTCCATCTACCTACGACTGTCTAGTAAGGCTTATACCTCTTGAATTCTCAAAACTTCTGTTGCACTATCTGCGCAGGGGCAGAGAATCTGTCGGTGTCTCGACTGTGCTACCGGAAGTTTTAGGGAAGTCGGAATAGGAGAGTTCTACACTTGGCTACCCTGCATTTACTAAATTTTGTCAAATTATAGACTTCAACTAACTTAAGCATCACAATTCTAGCACTAGTCTTGCAGGTAAGTCTCTGCTACCCTATCGATCTTTGCCRCCTCACCTCTAACKGCATAATATCAACTTTTAAGTTGCAGTGAGCAGAATTTCTTTAAAAAGTAGTTTTGTACCATTTGTTAAAGCTTGAAGAACTCCCAAAGGACCAACATATTAAGGTCCAATTCTTTGTTGTATCCCTATAGATATTTCATTCCCTTTTATGATACTGAGCGGACAAAACCAATAAAATAAATAAACAAATCTATTCGTCGAGCAAAAAGAGAGAGAGGAATTTGAACCCTTGATAGTTCTTTGTTTTGAACTATACCGGTTTTCAAGACCGGAGCTGTCAACTACTCAGTCATCTCTCCGAAAAATAATTTCTATTTGATTTATATTCGATCTCATCGAATTGAATATTGACATATAAGTTGGTGGTTACTTCTTAAAGGTGAGGTCCTCTCTATCCACCAGAGCTCCTTTTATTTCATCAATGTTATTGTTAACTTGTACAGTTCACCCTCTTTGGCTCTACCCATGAATTAACTAGTAGTCGGTCTTTCACAACGAGACATTTGATTTTATGGTGCAACCCTAGCACCGCATCCTCAAGCGACATATATTCTAGTGGAGTGCCGCAACTTTATTTTTTATTTTTTAATTTTAATTTTTAAACAGAACATTATTAAGATCATTATCGATAATAAGAAGAAAGTAAAAGATGTATATAAATTTTATTAAAAATCAATCATGAATTCAAATAATTTTCAAATTAAATCATTCAAAAATTGCCCAATAACTGCTCGATCCAAATAATTTTAATAATTTAGATTTCACGTGGTTGAACAAACCTACAAATTTTATTCATAAACAACAATTACAGATTTAGCAAAYAACCATACAAAACTAAGTTCTGATATCATTGATTAGAAAACAAAACTTTATTATGGGATTTAAGCATGAGAGTAGGTCAAATAACTATGTTATTTTGAATTACCCGCATCAGATTCTATTCCAAATTTTTTGTATTAGAATCTGCTTGATTTGAGTCTTCCTCAACTATGTGGCAATAGGCGATCCTCAGCAGACCACACCACTAATTGGAAGTGTTTATGGGCCATGAATAGAAGTACATACAATTTACTAGAGAAATTATTAGCTGTTTAAGGAATTAGTTTAATTAATTCCAACATATATGACGTGTAATTTCTTTTCGCTGAGTGGATGTAAAAGGTTGCAACACAAGGAATTAAATTGAAATAACGAATTGCGATTGCTACACAGTACAACACACAAACTCAAAAGTTTGGTGAAGGAAGGGTGTCCTCTGTTCGTAATGGAGTTGGAGAATGATGTCTTTGTTCCATTTGGTTTTCTCATAATTTTCTGTCTTTTTTTTTCCCCTCAAATTTCACACAACATTTCGTCGCAAAAATAAATTTTTGTTTGACATCGAGACTCGTATCGTTATTCTACGATATTGATTTTCAGCATCAGCTTGCACTTTATTTTCCACTTCAGTTCTAAGTCTTGGCATAATTCTGTCAAAAAAAAAAAAAAAAGACTTGTAATTTTTTAGTTTCATATTTTATTTTCCCGACTAAATTAACAAAAATTGAATATCAATCAACAACGTTTTTTTTTTTAATTTGTTATTTTGAAGATTATGTAATTGAATTGATTCGATTCAGTTTGATCAGAGATTTGTCGATGTTTTTTTTTTCTTTTTTTCTTTTTTTAATTTTGGATTGCGAATATGTGAATGCGTTGCACGCCAATTATAGAAACCAAAAAATCCAAAAATAATAAGGGAAATTGATGTTAAAACGACCCACCCTTCAAAATGTACCCAAATTACCCACTTAAATATTTAATTAATTTTAAAAGGTAACGAAATTACAGTATTACCTTTGTTTAAAAAATCAAACCGTTCGTACTACCTTTCTCCTTCCTCGTCGTTTTCAGCCTCAATTCGTCTTCTCGATTTTTCTTTGCAGTTCCTTAGAATTTCTTCTTCATTTTCATTTCTCTTGACGATTGGCTTCGATTTTATGTGTGTCGAGGAGTTGAAGGGTTGTTTATTTGCGTCGATTCAGTTTTCTGATGTTTAGATGAACGAATACATGTATAATATTGCATCGATTTAGTTTTTTTTCCATTGATTTTGTTTTCCATCTTCTTTGTTTCATTCCCTGTTTTTTCTTCGATTTTTCGTTTATATTGGAATTGAAGTCTGTGGCTGTGGGAGTTTGATTGGAAATGTTTGAGGTGGTGTGGTGGGAGGTTGAAGACGAAGAAGTATTTCAGACGAAGTAGGATGGACCTCGAGCGAGGTTGAAGATAATCAACTTTTTATTTTATTATTATTTTTTTGGAACCATACAAAAAATGTAACACCTTTTAAGCCTAAATTTTGGACTAAGGTTGGGATTTGAATTTGGTCTCGACATTTTCCTACACTTGCCGTGATACTTAGAATTTCTATCAGTTCCTTATGTATTTCATGTTTTGATGCAATGTTGGTTCATTCATGTGTCCTTCGCTTAGGCATCACAAGAAATCATTTCAAATTTAATAATTAACTATGTATTATAATCGATCGGTTGTTCAAATTTCCAAACATTGAACCAAAAAAGAAAACCTATGTATTTATGTAAAGTAGGACTTACATACATACTCTCCTCTATCCTCTCCTAGAATAGTATCTATATTTTTAGA